GGTTTATCCTTCAACAGGGTCTCCCAAGCTTGACTAGCTATTGAGAAAGAGATTTCTGAGTGCCTACCAGCAACGCCAACGGGATCGCTCTGGTGCTAACAAACACATTGATAACGTTCTAGCTTTCGAATTTAGCTGCCTCTTTGAGTTAAGATCATCTCCAACAAAAAAGTTTTAAATAGCGGAAGAACCTTTGCTATTGCCGTAAAGATTAGATCCTCATTTGCAAAATTTCATCATATTTAGAGGAGTGACGGTGACCGAAAAAATCCTTAAGGTTGGATCGAGCTTAGCAGAGAGGACTGGTGGCGCACAGCACGTAGAAAATCTAGACGATAGTATATCTCTTTTATGTTCTCTCATTGTTGGATAGGCCTCATTTCTACTGTTCAGTAATGGTCTAGCGCCTCATCGTGGCACTGACTATGGGTGTCGAACTGCGAAGTGCAGCAAAACTTTAGTCTCTAACACGTCTCCCATGCTGAGAAGGAGTTCGACGTTTCTGGCTCTCCGGAAGCCCAGCTAAGTGTAGGCAATGTCAGAAGCGTTACCGTCTGGCTGAAGTCGCTAGGTCGTTCCTTGATCCATATAGGTTAGCGTTTGCCTGTGATGAAAGCTTGGTTCTTGCAATCCTTTTTGGGGGAATTTATTTATTGCTTTTACAGCATGTAATAGGAAAGAAGCTCTGTACACTAGATTACATCACGGCATCGGATGTCGTCACCAGTATAAGGTTGTACAGGACGCCAAGAATTTGCTACCAAGAGTACACATCAACAACTCGCCATGAAAATTGTCTCATGCTTTGCACCTACAACGCCAGGACAGTCTCCACCAACACCGCTCTTCACGCCCCTCTCGAAACTGCAGGGTGCATCAATTATCACGTTATCGCCTTGAGGAAGCAACGTTCAGGAAGACGGACGTTGAGCAGCTGAGTGATGGCACAATCATCATTCATGGTGAAAAGTTTTCATCATGGAACGTTGGAGGCGTTGGATCTGTCGTATACCCATCTGTTGTTCATCTGATG